GGATGCTCTTTTCCCACTGGAGAGTTGATCTTAAATATGATCCTGGACACAGCCAACACTTGGCCAATATAATATTACTTGTGTGATATTAACATCAATGGCCCACACCTGTGGTCTCTCTCTTAACCCAGTCATGACCTCCCAAGTCCTTCCTTCCATCCTAACTCATTTACTAGCTACTGTCCAGATGCAGTATCTGTTATGTACTGAAGTTCTCACCCTGGGCCAGCAGGGGAATACTGTAGATAGTTTTCACTCAGGTCCACATATGTAAATAAGGAATTGAAAGTGACGTTCAGTGATTGGATAGTTACAGAAAGTGTTACAGTTGTGTTGTAGAGGAGCTCTATATAAGCAGGCTGGCTGAACCCTTCCGTTCTGTTCTGTTCTGGGTCTCTGAATAAACAAGAGCTGTTTGAAGAATCGCTGTGTGGTCTGATATGTTCACCCACAACTTAACAGTATCCATTTTCCAGCTCCTAATTCCCCCTCCCCTTTTTTCTTTTTCTTTGATCCTTTGGCGTTTCAGTCCTGATTTTCTAAACAAGCTCCTTTCCCTCACAATAATTCTAGTTGGTCTTTTGATAGAAAGTTGACTCCAGTCTTTCTAGTTTGCCATCGTAGTGTCTTTTCCTTTCCTCTTTTTCACAGAAGTACGGTGGGTTTTTCATTTTGAGGGTTATTTTGTTCTTCGTTTTACATACTAAATTATAGAAGTGGGGGGGGGGGGACCAAACATCATCAGTGATTGATGGCTGAAATGGAACTCAAGCTCTTGCCTACATTAAATGCTTGAACCCAGCACAGATAAATGAGTTTGCTTTTTTCTAATCTAATCTCAAATCTATTTACCTTCAATAAAGATAAATGATATATTACAGGGCACATCAACAACACTTTGAAGGCACTGACCTATTTTAACATGTGGCAAATTCCTTCTTAATACTCAACCTAGCGTTCTGTAATCAGTTGGACTTTGGGCATGAGCATAATCTACCCACAAAATATCCCTGATGACTTAGGATAATAAAAAAAGGTTGACTCTCACTTCCCTTGCTATTTGATAGAGGGAAAGCAACATTTTGGAATTTGCAGTCACATCCAGATTTTTGCAACTTTGGCATGCACACCAATGGGTGCCCATAGGCCCATTTCCAGCACAACCTTATGCATGTCAGTTCAGACCTAAAGTCCCATTGCATTCAGTTGTAAGTGGCTGTAGAACAGCAGCCTTAATCCCCTCCCACACACACTTTAAATTCAACAATGCAATGTATTTACATATGATACAAACTCATATTCATTTTCTACTAATTTAAAAATCCTGTGAATTGCTGTTTGGTGATGGGAAAAACTCTTAACCCCTGCCCCCTCTCTACTTTCAACTATATTTGTTTTTATTTCTTCTTTTTTTACCCTTATGTTTTCCATATATAAATGACAATAGGTGTTTTTTTCCAAGAGGATCTGTGCTCAAACTCCCTTAAGCTTTCTTTTCAACTCTTTCTTATGACAGAGAACTGTCACCAACAGAGGTTATTTAGTGAAACGAAATATTTTATTTATTGCGCTTTGCAGAAATGCTTTAAAAAGGCAACCTGTGCTACCAATAGCTACAGCAAGCATATTTTTTAAAGATCTCCAATACAGAAATCCATCTAATGACAAACAACACAATTGCAATATAGCTAACACCCTGAGACCTGCCTTAGAAAAATCCCTCCTCCTCGCATTCTTGGTTAGCTCGAATCAGGGAAGAGAAACTATTGTGAAAAACTAACATTAGTCTTCAATATAGGAAAAAGTGCTCAAAGGCTGGAGGGCATTTGCAGAATAGGCACTTCTTTATACTAGTAGTAGGAGTGAAATTTGAATGCTTTTGCTTATCTCAGCTATGACATTGTGACGTGGAAATATGTATTGTATACTAAATTCCTTCCTCGATATACTTCTGCATTCTGAATGCTAAAAAAAACACCTCCTGGAAAGTTGCTAATGGAGCGAAAGCATTCCTTGTCTCTAGGCTGCCCCAGAGGTATTTGGCATGGCAATGAGACCAGGTATTCCATTCCTTAAGCAACTGGGGGTGGTGGGATTTCTGTGAACCACGGAGCACCTTTTTGTTTCACAACAGAAAGCTAGTGGTCTCAGGGCGCAGCTTGTTTCTCTTTCTCTCCCCCCACACCTGGCTTGGACATAGACTTTAGGCAGCTATATGCACATAAAATACTTTCCCAAATCTTTTCATTCATACCATTAGTTTTCTTACTTAAGAGAAGCTCTGAAGTAGTGAAAATTCAATGGGAGAAAGAGATAAAAATGTTTCTTAGGGCTGGTAACAGTACCTTTCTCTCTTAGTCTCCTTCTATCTCCTGTGTTTGGGAAAAGCATCTTGCAAATTCAGTATCAGAGTCGGGGTTTTTTGCTCATTTAGGGCCTGTCACAAAGAATGCCTTCTCTTAGGCGACTGCCCCCTACCACAAATTCTGAGACTGCTTTTGCTGATCTTAACATCTGAGAAGATCTACAGACTCTTTTAATTTGGGACACTTCACAATAATTTCATCTCACATAGCACAAAAAACCATGAAAGAAACTAAACCACACTATAAATAGTAGATATTTAACTCTCAGCAGCAGAAAAAATGATCTGATTTTTGTGCATGGAAAGGAGAACGTGGTTAAGAGATATAAATTTATTTTCTGGTGTCTTCGAGGTTTAGTCTGCTTCTAAGGGCTTAACAGTTTAGGAAAATGTGTTTTCAGTAGGTCTTATATCTTACCTTTCTGAAAATGTTCAATGCAGAGAAGACACAGGAATCTTCACCAATGTGACTAACAATTATCTAGCAGAACTATATTTGAAACCTTCAACTATCTTCTGTCACTGTTACAATTAACCTAATAACCTCTAATTTATGGTTTTGTTCACGCTGTATCTTTCCCATTTCCCCCAGAAAAGCAACTCATATTCCTTGCTACATATGTGTGTAGGAGAGCTGTCAAAGGAAGAACAAAAAGAATGCCAAATTTTGCATAGTCAATTAAAAAATATTTTTTTTAAAGTTGTCAAAGGGCCAAACTAGGTGAGATTAAAGAGACATGGAGCCAGTTTCCCATTATTTCTATTTTTACTGAGCAGCAATCATGGAGAGGGCTGAGAATTTGATCAGAGCAGTGAACGGAGCATGTGTGTGTGTGTGTGTGTGTGTGTGTGTGTGTGTGTGGTGAATGATTAATGAAAGAAAGACCTTCATAGAAGAAGGCTCCAAACACCCTGGGATTCTTTGCCCTGAGAAACTGACTTGGCTCCTCCACCTCAAGACATCAGCTAAAAAAACAGAATGTTCAGATATGTATTTAGTCAGAATGCATCTTAATAACACATCATTGCCTTTTTCTACCTACTATGCTGATGCATTGTTCTAGATTTCACGCTGTTTTTATTGACATGTATTTAAAGAGTGTTAGAAGCCCTGTGGGTCCTGTTATTTATAGTGGGTGGTGTGGTGGATCTGAGTTGCTCGCCTGAATTGTCAGCAGGTGTGGCAAGGTTTGCTCACAGGGAGGAGGGAAGGCAAGGCAGTGTGGTAGGCGATGCAGTGCAAATGAACCAGCAGAGCCAATCTGGTGCGCCTGCTGGTGCGTTTGCACCTCACCACCCTCCCTGTCAGCTCTGCCCCACCATGCTGTCCACTACTACCTTTTATTGGTTATAAATGAAAGATACAAGCATTAAAACAAAGGCTTTTTGCCTTTTGTATTGTTTTCCCTATCAATGCCCAGTGTTCACCACTAGTAATTTCATACCTGTGGGAGGAAATGCGTCAGGGAAGGGCCATAGCTCATGGGTAGAGCATCTGAATTGTACTCAAAAGGTCCCAACGTCAGTTCTGAGGATGTCCTGGTAGAGGAAGACTTTTGTGTGAAACCTTCAAAAGGTACTCCCACCTTGTTTAGATGATATTGAGTTAGATGAACCTATGGTCTCACATAGCATAAATATAGGAAGGGCTGAACATAGATCATTAAGTATTTCTCTCTCTGTGTTGTTCCAGAGGATGTAGCTTGTTAAGGGTGCAGAGTGTTGTTAGGAGAGACCCATTCCCCTCAAAGAACTACAACACCCAGAGTTCCCTGGGAACAGGGATTGACTGTTAAACCACCCTGGGAATTGTAGGTCTCTGTGAGGTATCAGAACCCTTAACAAAATATAGTTCCCATGATTCTTTGGGGGAAGCCATGATTGTTTGAAATGGTGTGATACTGCTCTGAATATATAGTGCAGATGGAGCCACAATAGTAGGAAGAACTTATTTACAGCACAAGTTGTTCAACAGCGGGACACACTACTCAAAAGCTACTGCACTTTCCTTCATTAGAATTTTAAAAACAGATCATGAATAGCCACCTGTCAGGGTTGCATTATTTCTGAGTTTCCTGCATGAAGTTGAACTGGATGACCCTTGAGGTTCCTTCATATTCATTGAGTCTACGATATGGCATACTTCTCCAAAGCAGTCAATATGAAACCAACTACTGCAGTGATGCCTTACTAAATCAATTGTACCTTGCTCAGTGAACAGCTTGTATAATAATTGATTTTGAACTATTTGGCCACTCTCTAACAAAGTTAAATGCACTGAAGACCATTGGAATCAATCGGATTAGGCACACTTAACACTCTCAGTCGTGTGGCTCTTTGCATTGCAAATTTCTTCTTGGCACTAGGGAAAATTTAACATTACTGGTTTTTGTGGGACTGCCCTTTTCATCCATCAGGAGCACCTAGAAAACTACATTTCTCAGCTGTACCGGTGTCTGGCTTAGAGCTGTAGTAGCCCTAAGCATCAGTTGCCAGGGAGATGGAGGGAGGGACCCCTCTCCCTCTCTTCTGTTCCTGGTGTAAGCAGAAAAGCAGTGAAGTAAAGCAGGTAGCAGATAGGAAGGGTGCTAGTTGGAAACTTGGAAACGAGAGAAAGGGGGGAGAGAAAGGAAGAGCCATAGCTCAATGGCATAACAACTGCCTTTCATGCAGAAGACCTCAGGTTCAACCCCTGATATCTCCAGGTAGGGCTGAAACCCCAGAGAGCTGCCGCGAGCCATTGCGGGTGATACTGAACAAGATGGATCAATGGTCTGATTCAGAATAAGGCAGCTTCCTATGCTCCTATGAGACTGAAATCTAAGCTGGAGAAAAACTCAGGGGTTTAATGATCACCTCCATTTGAAGGGAGCATTAAGAGTCAGCAAAGTTCATATTCTGATCTAGATGTGTCTCATTAACATAGTCAAGGATAAAATCCAATCTGGTTTTCTCTCAGTTGTGCAGTTCCTACATAGTCACTGAGCACATGAATTCATTTGCCACTACTGTGAACTGCTCATAATAGCTATGTTCAAAACAAGCAGTTTATTTAATTTTCTCTTCTTGGGGGGAAAACACAAAGAAAAACTAACCCTCTTAATACAGTGAAAAAAAATGGCACTTGGAAGTGAACTTTCTTTCCCTGCAATTGTACCAAAATTAATAAATGACCACTTTTAGCAATATTCAGACAGCAAGGAGAAATTGATATTTCTGGACTGGAAAAAAACAATTATGTAGGCATGATGAATTAAAATCAATTGGTGCTGACAAAATAGAACTCTGCAGAAAAAGAACAGAAAAGAAAACTTAAGCATTTCATACTGGGCTGTTTCAATTTTTAAATGATTGGTTAAAACAAGGGGGGTAATGTGCTGTTGGTTTCAATAATATTTCATTCATTGACTTTAATGGGATTTTGGAGAGCACAGTGTGATCAGTACAAGTCACAGTGATGGTATTCACAGAGCCACTCCTAAAGTGTAATGAGAATTAGGGCAGGGATAAATAGATATTTGAAGGCCCCTCTTTCAGGAGACCCCTCTTCTGTAACCGTTTCAATTCATTTTAAACCAAATTCATTATAGGTGACTTTAACTTAACATTTCTGTTGTATCTCAAATGGAATGAAAGCAAGGGTGTGCTGGGTTTTAACTATCTTTTTCAAAAGAATGACCCACCTCTGTGGAGAGAGCAAGTGTGCATATTTTGAGATGAATGAACATCACGTTGCTCCTCCATCCCACTTAACAACATAAGCATACTCCTTTCCTGTATGAAGACACAGGGCTTGGGCAAAGTGCTCATCAGGTTTCTGTTTCTGCACCACCATCACCATCACCACCATCACCTGATCTCTGTATATGTGCATATGATTGAATGCCTAAGAATGATACTGGTCCATTATGGGGAATGGGGGGGGCTGTATGCCTCTCAGATTCTTACACATCTCTCTCCTTTCTGATTGTCCAAGATCCTAAAGCAATGGAGCTTAGCCAACTTGACCCACTGGTGTGGGAAAGGTGGGGGTGAAGACAAGAGGAATGCTCAAGCCAGCTTATCACAAAGTTGCAAAATTCAAAAGCAAGCAGAATCCTCCATGCAGACTTCCACACTTTTTGACACTCGAATCCCAATCTAGAACCCAGGGCGTAGATCAACTGACAAGCAAATTATATCCTGTGTGCACACATTTTTCAATCACGATGAACTTCTTTCTTTTCAACTAATTCATTGTGAATTCAACCAAACCCACGTTCCTTACTGAGGGCTATGTGTGTAGCAAGGATGAACTTTAGAAAGAAAATCATTTTTTAATTATTCAAGAGCTTGAAAGGCTTTGCTCTTGATGCCACAGACACATGACTCCGTGGAACGCTAACAACTTTCCCACAAAATAATTACTGATGAGTTAAGTACAAGCTTGAGAAATGTCACCAAAAGGGTAATTTTGAGAAAGTTGTAAGTGCTGGGGAAACTGTGGAGCAGCATGAAATTGTCTTCTCAGTCATAGTTCCACCGTCACCATAGCAATGTTATAATTATGCTTTGATTGAATCCAAAATCACAATGAAACGGAACCCTTTTTTTACTCCCACATGATCATCATGGATTCATGTTAATGCACATACTAATTCTAGTTGTATATTTGGCAAGAATGGCAGAGTCGTTTGGAAAATGCTACATCCCCTAATAGGAAACCTAATTAACAAGTGGCGCTCCATCATCTGAAGCAAACGTGACTGATGATGTCCAAAGCATGTTTAATGTAAACACTCATTACTGACTCCTTGCAGCAAAGAAAAAAAATGAGTTGTTAAAAATGAATAATTTGTCCTGCAGTGATACAGGACATTGATTTTCATCTAACAGTATTAATTTTTTATTTTTATTTTTTAAAAAAAGATTGCTACTGAGTCTGATTGGCTTCCATCTGTCTCAGGAGACAATGGAAGAGTGTGCTTTTTGGAGTGAAGTCAAACCATTGGAGAGTTGCAGTGCCTGCTATGGTTGTTGAGACTGATGTGGGATAAACATGTTTTATTGCAGCTGGGATAGATGAATGTGTCCGGTTGTTCTGATGCAGGTATACCATGGCGTTTCTTCTTTCTACACTCCTCCTGGTGGCCATTTCTCCTCTGGTCACTGCTGTGGATACAGGACTTGACTGTCTGTCTCCAGGCACTACGGCTGTCCAGCCTTCATGACACATTTACAGACGTCTTTGTAGTGCAGAGTTGGCCTGCCAATGGGTCTGGTACCTGAAGCCATAGAGAAATATCCTTGGAGATCCTGCCACCTTCCATTCTTCAGATATGACCAAGCCAGCGTAGATGTCACTGAGACAGGAATGCAAACATGCTGGGAATGTGAGCTTGGGATAGTTCTATGCATATTCTTGTGGAAGGAACCAATCATCTTCTGGAGCTGAGGTGGGTATCCTATCTTACTGAGCAGTGTGAAGAGTCTTTTTCAGCTGACCAGGTCAAAGGCCTTCATCAGGTCTCTGAAAGAGATGTACAATGGACACTTCTGCTTTTGGCATTTCTCCTGCAGCTGATGCAGTAAAAAAACATAATGTCGAATCCTTGACTCTGAACTCTCAAACCTCACTGTGATTCGAGATAGACTGAATAACCAGATAAAAAAACTCCCTAAAATGATTTTCATCTGTTTTAATGCTTACACGGATTAGGATCATTTTGCCATGGGACATTTTACAAGGATCAGTTCCATAAACATATGTGCTGAAGGTTGGAAACCATTTGATCTTAGATCTGGATTTATTATGACAATTTATTATGGTGGGATGTTCATTAATAAAGCCAACACACTCCCATTATAAATGATACTTAACAGAACAGTTTTGCATATGGTTGAACATACACTTAATCATTGAAATTACGACATTAATTATTGTGACGTATGCCCCACATTGTTTCACACACACATTGTATATTGTATGTCCCCAAGCAGTTCTCATGAACCTTATCGTGGATGAGGGGGCTAGAGGTGAAATAACTGTGTTTATGAACCAAAGTATCTCACTCTTACATCTGATCAAGTCCAGCTCACCATCTGCCATAGTCTCACAGTGGTTCCTGAGGATTTAAATGTGTTGTTTGGCGTGTTTCCTGATTTATAAGGTACATCTAACAGTTACTAGACTGTTGCAAATATTATAAGGCAAAACAGCCTGAAATGAACAAGATATAATAAGTATGAGTTTGGAGAACAAAGGTGCTGGGTAAAATAACCTTTGCATCAAGATCACCAGCTCACTGCAAAATCAGGATTCAATTAATACGTATCACTGGTGTAAGGAAAATGGCAACCCTCAAATTTGGAGGTAGCTTTTTTTAAAGTATTTCTTTTTAACCTGGTGAAGTTACTTCAGACAAAATTCAAAGAGATAGACTTCAGTTGGTGTACCATGGGATACAATACTGATCAGGAAGAAATTCAGTTCAGTTTGCATGTAAAGGTGAACCTACCTAATTCACACTTTTTGGGACATTACACAAACTGATACACAGCATCCTTTGAAATGTGCACCTCTCCAAATTCCGCAGTGTAGTTCTCCAGCCAAGTAATGTGTTCCAAAATGCAAATATTAAGGTAAAGTATGCATAAAAATGCAGATGCTAGTGAAGATAGCAAACAAAAATGCAATATCTGAGGAGAAATTACTTTGCAAAAATTTATATATTAGTCAAAACTACACACAACAGCAATAAAAAATGCATGTTGAGAGAAATTTGCACTTAACTGTTAATCGATTTTCATGAAAACTTAAACTTTCTTTCTCTTTGCAAACTGATATGGAAATCTGGAGAACTGAATTTAAGATCGGAAAAATGAGAAATTAAATTGACAGATTTGATCATCCTTAACTTCCATATACTCTCACTGTATTTCATCTAGGCCTATCTTCACAATGCTGCTTAGCAATTCAGAAATGTAGAACGCTCTGTGTTTCCATTGGCAATGCTTGCCTTCTGAAGGCTGAGAAAAATATTAATGCCTGTTTGAACTCATCACTTTGTCAGATTGATCATTCTTCACACACACACCCCAACTTCAGCTTTACTTTTCCCTTCCACCCCCATATGTGCTTTGTTGTTGTTGTTTTGTTTCTGTTTTCATTTGTAAACCTGAGGGCAAGTCCTGCGACTCATTTTTAAATTGATGTGTGCCACTTTGGAAGACAATATTCATTTGGAAAGTGGGATAAAAATATTACATATATATGTAAAATTTACCTTCATCCTTGCAGAAACCATGAGATAACTTGCCAAAATGTTGAATGTGAATTACTCTCCATAAGCTGGGCATGTATTTCTGGTACCCTTTGAAGAACTGATGAACCAGTGGAATGACCAAACAGAAATTGCCTGCACGGTACCTTTGAGGTAACCATACAATTCATTGGAAATATTCTTTGTAGCATTGACCAGTGCTTTGGCAACTGGTTGAGTGAATGCCAGTTGTTTTAAATGATCCCAATACTTAAAGAAAATTACTTCAGTCATACAATGGGCAGGAAGGTTATGTTGTGCACAATACTCATTGCTACAACGTATAGAGCTTTTGTGCTCAAAGGCAGATATGGAACTCTTTCATTCATGGGATCTGCATGAATTTCAATGGAGGCACCAAATCCATACAGGTAAAAGAATGCATGTACAGAAGTGATGAATG